CTGATAGGCTTCCCTTTATGGGTAACCTGACCTTTCTCTCTGGCTGCCCTCAATATTTTCTCCTTCATTTCAACCCTGGTGAATCTGGCAATTATGTGCCTTGAGGTTGGTCTTCTTGAGGAATATCTTTGTGGTGTTCTCCGTATTACCTGGAGTTGAATATTGTCCTGCCTTGCTAGGTTGGGAAAGTTTTCCTGAATAATATCCTGAAGCATATTTTCCAACTTGGATTGATTCTCTTCGTCACATTCAGGTACACCTATCAAGCATAAATTAGGTCTTTTCACATAGTCCCATATTTCTGGGAGACTTTGCTCGTTCCTTTTTATCCTTTTTTCTCTAATCTTGTCATCTTGTTTTATTTCATGAAGTTGGTCTTCGACCTCTAATATCTTTTCTTCTGCTTGATCAATTCAGCTGTTAAAACTTGTGCATAGTTCGCGAAGTTCTCGTGTTGTATTTTTCGGCTCCATTAATTCACTTATATTCCTCTCTAAATTGTGTATTTTTGTTAACATTTCATCAAACCTTTTTACAAAGTTCTTAGTTTCTTTGCATTGGGTTAGAACAAGTTCTTTTAATTCACAGAAGTTTCTTATCATCCACCTTTTGAAGACTGCTTCTGTTAATGGAACACACTTGTTCTCCATCAGACCTTGTTCCGTTGCTGATGAGGAACTGTGATCCCCTGTAGAGGAAGAGGCGTTCTAATTTTGGGTATTCTCAGCCTTTTTAGGCTGTTTTCTTCCCTTCGTTATAAATTTATCCATCTGTGGTCTTTATAATTACCGTCTTTATAACTGGGTTTCTGAGTGGACGTCCAACTTGTTGATTCCCAGCGCTAAAATCTGAGCAACCCACTGCGCCGGCCAAAACAGTGGCGTTAAGATCAATGGTGCTTTTCTGACTCTGCACCAAGAACCGCCGCACCAAGGCAGTGGAAAAACCGCCTCACCGGCCTCAAGAGTCATGCTGGTGACCCGTGGGGCTCCTCCGCTGGGAATCTCCTGGTGGGTGAGCAACAAAAATTGATCTGAAAGTGTGGCATCCTCTCGTTCTCTGCGCTTTCACTGGGAGCTACAATCCCGAGCTGCTAGTGATCAGCCATCTTGGATCTCTCTCCAAACTTTCTTTTCCCAAGAAAAAACACAGGGACTCAACAGGAAAACCAAAAGAATCTACAGATCTTTTGAAAGAAGCCGCAGGCTGCAGCCTACTGTGTGAGACAGGTGAAAAACTGTAAATCTCCAGAGTGTGAGATGGGGAGAGACTGCCTCCAGGATGGATACACATCTTTGCTGAGGAATCTGAATATCCAGGCCACAGGGGAAGGCCTTAACTCTACCCAGGGCTTGAACTGATTTAGGGAATGGTGAGAAATACAAAAGTAGAAGCAGCAGCAGGAAGTGCCTTGCAGTCATTCCCAATCTCCAGCATGGACTGAGGGAAGCCATTCCTTATTGCATCTCACAGGGGTCTTTGGGGACGTCAGACAACTAGCTTAGACAGGGATCACAGGTTGAATGAAGTGCCCAACTGTATTTCTTGATATAACTCAAGTGGGGATGAACTCCCTTGACCAGAACCCAGGGAGCAGGCAGGAAGTGTGCTGCAGACAGGA